GCCCTCCCAGAACTAGCCGACTGCACCGTAGCCGTCTTTTGGCTATCGCGTGGCCGGGAACTGGTTAATAGCTGGGCCTCTCTTAGCAACATCCTGGGAGTTTTCAGGTCAGGCTTCATGAGGCACAAAAAGGTCTACAGCTATAGCAAGGGCACCAGGCAACTTTAGTAAAAGTTTTTATTTATTTATTTATTTTTATCTACAGGCATCCCTTATCTGCATAGGCAGTTTTTTGGTGAACCCTTTAATAGTTATATCTCACTGGGTATATATTTTTATTATTATACAGTATTTATAAAGTGCCAACAGTTCAATGCGATACACAAAGGGTTCGAGGGCCCTGCTCCTTCGAGCTTACAATCTAGGAGGGAGGGGACAGTGGTAGAGGAGGGGATAGCTGTGGGGGATGGAGTGGTAGGAAGAGTGGAGGAGGTCGGCAAATTAGCAGGGGGTGGGGTAGGCTTCCCTAAAGAGGTGGGTTTTCAGGGTGCACCTAAAGAGGAGGATAGTAGGTGATAGTCTGATGGGTTGGGGTAGGGAGTTCCAGAGGATGGGTGACACCCTGGAGAAATCCTGGAGGCGGGCATGGGAGGAGGAGACCAGGGAACTAGAGAGAAGGAGGTCTTGTGAGGAGCGGAGTGTGCGTGTTGGGTGGTACTTGGATATTAGGAAGGTGATGTAATTTGGGGCAGTATGCTGGACAGCTTTGTATGTCAGTGTTAGGATTTTGAATTTGATCCGTTGCACAATCGGAAGCCAGTGGAGGGATTGGCAGAAGGGGGTGGCGTAAACGGAGCGGTTGGTAAGGTGAATGAGTCTGGCTGCCGTATTGAGGATCGACTGAAGCGGGGATAGCCTGTGGCAAGGCAGGCCAGTGAGGAGGGAGTTGCAGTAATCGAGTCGTGATATGATGAGGGAGTGGATGAGCTGTTTAGTGGTTTCTGGGGTTAGGAACGTGCGGAATTTGGCGATGTTGCGGAGGTGGAGTCTGCATGAGTTAGTGATTGGACCTGGGGCTGGAAGGATAGGTTGGAGTCCAGAATGACACCAAGAAGTGGCATTGTTGGACGTGATGGAGAAGTCACTGGGGGGGGGGGGGTGCGGGCTGGGGGGAAGACTAGGAGCTCGGTTTTGGAGAGGTTCAGTTTAAGGAAGTGGAGCGACATCCAGTTATACATAAATCATTTTTTTTTTTTAATCGGGTCAACCACACCCTACAATACTCAGAGGTCAGATCTTCCATAAACCCTGGAAAGTGATATCTAAAATTACCAGCAAACACACACTACACAGAAAGGAATGTTATAAAGATTCAAGTCCTCATTAGAATTGTATTGCCTTAGCATCAATAATGCGCACCCAGCAACATGTAAGAATAGTTTGTGGTACATTTCCCATAGCTGTCAATGGACAATCTTGAAATATCTGTTATCAAATGTCTGCTTTTCGCTTACAGTACCTCTGTGGACCCTTGATAAAGAGAAGACACTTGCCTAACCATAGATTTTTTAAGTATATTTACATGAATTGTATATAGCTACAGGCAGCACAGTGGCTTTGTGTTCCATGCAGTACTAGGGTCCTCAGTGGAATCCTGACCAGGACACTATCTGCTGGAGTTTGCATGTTCTCCCTCTTCTTGCGTGGGATCCCTCAGGATACTCGGGTATCCACCCACACACCAATGAAATTCTGGTAGGTTAATTGGCTCAATTGAGTGCACTCAAGATGGCTGCCTCATCTCCTAATCCCCAGGGAGAAAATCGCTATAGGAATACAAATTACATTATAAAATGTTTTAATAAATGAAATATATCCCTCCAATGCATAAAGCATAGTGTGCACCCATAAGAGTAAAATGAGAAGCAATATAAATGAGCAGCTACACTCTAATGGTCCACTGAATCTACTAATAACCAGATAAACTGAGAATACCAAAGCAAAATTGGACTCAATAATGACAATCTATAATTTTTTTTTTAAATTATCTGATTTGCTGACTGACAATACCTCCTAAGCTATCTGGCAGACACACATCAGAATGGAAATGCTGGCAAAAGAACAGAAGGAAAATGGTAATCAATTTCTTTTAATGTCATACAAGAACAAGAAATATGCTGGCATTGCACATGGTTATATTGTAGACATTTTTTCTATCACTTTCAGCTTTCTCATTGCAAAAACAGCTATCATTTGATAGTTTGGGCACCAGCTGAAGACTGTAGGTTGCATTGATCCTTTTGGTTGTGTAACTGTAAGCTAGTTGAAAGGGGCTGAAATTGCTAGAAAATTGTGAGCGTATGGCCAGCTGGGAGCGCGTTCCTCAGCTCACATTCATGCACACAGTTGTCTTAAAGTGCTTCTGTGCTGATCATCCATCGACTTGCTCGTCCAGACCTGTGAGAACTTCGGCCAAGCTTCAGGGGCAAAATTCAACTACTAGAAATCAGAAGCCATGCTCTTCGGAAAGTGGTTCCTGCCTTCTTCTGCATCCATACCTTCAGTGTCAAGATGGACTTCATCAAAATTCTGGGAGTCTGGTTCGGAGCTGAGGGTGCAGCCCTGAAGTCTTTGGAGGAGAGACTGTCTAAAATGCAGCAAAAATTTGGACTTTGGAGCCTCAGGAACTTACCATTAAAGGGAAGACACTGGTACTCTGCAGCAAGATTCTCTGTGCGTTGCAGTACCTCGCCCAGACCTGGCCCCCATAGGTCAACACCTGCAAGGCCATCACCAGGGCAGTGTTTTACTTCATATGGGGCTCCAAGGTGGAAATAGTGAAGTGGGCATCATGTTCAAGAAGCCTCTCAAAGGCAGTAAGGGTTTGTCCGAGATCGCCACTCAAATGAGGGTATTCTTTGCCTGCAACTGCATCCACAGAACTTTGCTTAACTGAACAAAGGACTCTGGCGAAAACTCCAAGTCACGTTTTTTCCTCTTGCCCCTTTGGAGGTCCCTCAGATGGGACAAATGGAACAGTTCCATCTCCTACAACTGGGATACTCCTTGGTATTACTTGCATTTACAAGGAGCAAGGGCTGCATGGAGTCAAGCCCGACTTGCGGAAGCCAAAGACTATCTACAAGTTGATTAGAGCCAAGGACATTTGGAGCCTGTTCCAGGCTTGCCTTCAGCCACTTGCAAGGTGGTCTGGAGGAATGTTCCTTCAAAGAGACTTGCCAACAGGCGCAAGGACCTGGCATGGATGGCGATACAAGGGGGGGGGGTTGACACTCAGGACATTTATGCATGCCAGGAACCTGAGCAGATAAAGGCACTGCCCGTTTTGCATCATCCAGGAGGTAACTGCTCTGCACATTTCCTGGGAATGCCCCTTTGCTCAGAACCTGTTGAGGGCCTTGGAAACAGAACTCAATGACTGTGCCATAGGTAGCCATCACACACTTTGGTGTGCTGAACGGACTTTTCTGTGGAATCTTTACTCAGGAGGACTTTGATGGAATCCGGTGGGTGCTGTGCTGCTTCAAGGATGCTTTATGGTGCACCAGAAGTGCTTCATCCACCAGCAGGAGAGGATATCCATTGAGAACTGTCGCAGACTGGTCCACAGTCTGCTCAGAGACTATAACTTGATGGACTTCAAGGAGGAGGAGGACATCTGAAGATTTCCCCTTCCCCCACTCTCCCTTGCATGTCTTTGTAATTTAAATAAAGCTTCGGGCATGTGAACTCCATTCCCCCTGCCTCAGCCCTCTTTCCTACCCCTCATCACCATTGTTTATTAAATTGTTTTTGTTTATTGGTAATGTTTTTGAATGCTATGGTTTATGCCGAGGTGCCATGTAGGATGTTTGGGACAGGGGTCTAACCCAGGCACTGCATGTCTGACATTGCACCGCTAGGTACTCCGGTAGATCCTTAGGGGGCCACAAACCGGTTCAGGGGATGTGGCGTCATGCATGACGTGATGGTTTAGGGAACTTTTGTCCGCACATCATGTTAGGCATCATACCGCTGGGTGAATGTATTTATTGTATGATTGAGACTGTGTTATGTGATGTATTTATGTGCTGCATCGCAGTACAGGATGGACTGTACCCCAGTCAAGCATCTTACTTTTTTTTATATACTTGTATAGATATAAAGTTGTCTTAAAGTATTTTATACAAAATATTTTCCTTCAGGTAGTATTATCTACTATAGGATTGAGATGTATAGTCTGTGTTTCCATACTGCAAAAGGTTTTTAAGAGATGTGTTGATAATGGAGGCCCAGTTTAAGAAAAGGGTGAGTTCCACTCAATCTATGGCAAATAATGCGAGGCTTTTAATATTGACTAGTAAAAACAACCTCCTCCTTACTGCAAAAATGACAGTGAAGGAAAGGGGTGGAGCTAGAGAACATGTAACTGCATATGCATGCCATCCAGCGGCTATCTTGGAAATTGGCAAATCAGGGTTTTATATTGGAACAGCACTGTTTGATGCTTTCATTCTCCATGGTGGCAGTATCTTTTCCCTGAGTGGATTCCATCCATCCTGGGAGGTCTGGAGAAGGAAGATTGGGATGATCTCTGTCCCCGGAGCAAGCGGTCATTTTACACAAGTGCTTTTTGACCTGTGTAAGATGGTCACAGCCCTCCGGTCAGCCTATTTGCACAGTGTGTGTGTGATTGGTGCATCATCTTGGTTCTCTGTGGATCACTGTTAATATCCAAGATGTGCACAGACATCTGGTCAAGTGTATACTTGTTAGCAATTGTTTTTGTATGGACTCATGTACACTGTGTCATGTTTAGGTACATCATTTATTTGCACATATCTTCTGGAACATTTATCACACGTTATTGTATCGGTTTAACAAATCATTTCTGAATTTATTATTTCGTTTTAACATAGCACTGCACTTTTCCTAATTGAACCTATTCCCAATAGTGTTTATGTACAGTGATTTATGGGTGTCATGAGCTCCAGGAAACCTAGTAGGATTTCTTCTAACAAGTCAGGCAGAGCTGACACAGCTCACAACAACAAACTTACTGTGTTAAGTGCATTAAGTGTTGTATCATCTCGAGAAGCAGCAACGCAGCCATCTTCTGTGGATCCCCCATCACACATCCCCGCAAAGGCAGCCATACTCCTGTCAAGAGACCGTGCCATAAATAGAGAGCAGCACCAATGCCCTGCACTCAAAATACTGGATAAGTCAAACCATGCAATCACTTTATCAGATATTCATCCAATAGTATCTGGTGATACTTCTATGGAATGGTCGAGCCTGCACTACTTTGATAATAGTTCAATTATGGTGTCAGGAAACAAAAACATTATGGCAACCAGATAACAGACAATAAAAAAAAAAAGATTAACTAGAACTTACGTAAAGCAGAACTTCACTCTCCCAATCAACATGGACTATTTTTAATTCTTATGTTACTAGTATTAATAATTAGATATGAAAGTATATTATAGTTACTTGTGTGGTTTTGTTTTTTTTTTTTCTACATTTCTTCATTTACATTCTGGTTTCCAGGCCTAGGCAAATGATACACATCCCAGAAGTCTTCAAGAGGTGAGGAGGGGTTTTCTCAGCTAAGCACACCCTCCTGTCTGCATGCCTGAACTAAGGGCAGAGGGATTCCAGGAAGTTGATGCTACATGAATTATATGCCCTTACTCAAGATGGCCATGTCCATAAATGCTGGGAGGTGTTTTCAAAGTTATTTATCAGAAAAATAATGCATGGAGACATGGATGGGGAATTTGCATTAAATTATTAAACATCAAATAGCGTTTTGATTTGTGGTGCTCAGATGCCTTTTTAAAGGAATATAAAGAAACAGGGAAAAAGTATTGAACAAGCTAACTGAAATTTATTTAATGCTTCGTAAAAAATCCTTTGTTGGTAATGACAGCTTCAAGATGCCTTCTGTATGGAGAAATTAGTTGCATGCATTGCTCAGGTGTGATTTTTGCCCATTCTTCCACACAGTCTTCAAATCTTGAAGGTTCTGTGGGCCTCTTCTATGAACTCTGATCTTTAGTTCTTTCCATAGATTTTCTCTTGGATTCAAGTCAGGTGATTGGGTAGGTCATTCTAGCAGCTTTATTTTCTCTCTTTGAAACCAATTGAGAGTTTCCTTGGCTTTGTGTTTTGGATCGTTGTCTTGCTGAAATGTCCACCCTTGTTTCAACTTCATCATCCTGGTCATTGGCAGCAGATTTTTATCAAGAATGTCTTGGTACATTCTTCCATTTAACCTTCCTTCGATGACATGAAGTTTGCCAGTACCGTATGCTGAAGAATAGCCCCACACCATGATGTTCCCACCTCCAAACGCCACTGTTGGTATGGTGTTTATGGGGTGATGTGCAATGCCATTTGACCTCCAAAGATGGTGTGTATGATGGCATCCAAAGAGTTCAAGTTTGGTCTCATCTGATCAGACGATATTCTCCCAGTATTTCACAGTCTTGCCTAAATGTTGTGCAGCAAACTTTAAACGAGCTTCAACATGCTTTTTCTTCAGCAATGGAGTCGCATGGTGAGTGTGTCCACACGCCATGGCGGTTGAGTGTATTACTTACTGTTTCCTTTAAAACAATTGTACCTGCTAATTCCAGGTCTTTCTGAAGCTCTCCACAAGTGGCCCTTGGCTCTTGGACAACTCTTCTGATAATTCTTTTCACTTCTGTATCAGAAATCATGTGAGGAGCACCTGGTTGTGGCTGGTTTATGGTGAAATGATGTTGTTTCCACTTCCCGATTAGGGAACCCAACAGTGCTCACTGGAACATTTAGGAGTTTAGAAATCCTTCTGCAACCAATGCCATCAGTATGTTTTGCAACAGTGAGGTTGAAAGGTCTTGAAAGAGCTCTTTGTTTTTACCCATCAAAAGATGTTTCTTCTGTGACACCTTGGTAATGAGACACCCTTTTTATAGGCCATCAGTTGAGACTGATCCAGCTGATATTAACTTGCATTGACAAGGGGCAGGATTGCTTTCTAATTTCCTCCTAGATTGTAAGCTCTAACGAGCAGGGCCCTTTTCCTCTTGTACCAAATTGTATTGTAACTGTAATGTCTACCTTAATTTTTTAAAGCGCTGAGCAAACTGTTGGCGCTATATAAATCCTGTATAATAATAATAATAATAATAATTACTGATAGATTTCAGCTGGTGTCTTGGCATTGCATGCCTTTTTGCACCTCCCTTTTTTCAGGTGTTCAATACTTTTTACCTGTGTCATTCCATTTTTATTATAGACAACTGAATTTCTGAACGTATTTGTCTTGGTTTTCTTTGTAAGTATGGATTGCATGGGTTTTTACCGTCATGTGGTGAAAATTTCATGTCAATAGCACCTTTAGAAATGTATTTACCTAGAAAAATGGTGACATGTTCAATACTTATTTTACCTGCTAAATGCATATCGTGATCAGAGTGAAACAAGCAAGCAGGGGGACTGGCAAGATCACCAGGTATTTCACACAAAAAAAGCAATGTAACGAGAACAGGAAACATTTTAATAGAAGTACATGGTAACACAGACACATAGCAGGAATATGATATGTTGGAGTAACATACACTTTAGGTGGCATAGCTCTTTTGTCTTAACTGATACCCTAGCAGTACCTTTTCTATTTATTTATTTTTACTGTGAACTAGCTTTATGTTAAATGTTACCGAAATAAGGTAACCCAGAACATGTTTCTCCTTGTTACTTTGAGTTCATCACTAAACACAGTCCTAAACTGTAAATATTCTCTCTGTGCATACACAGAACACATTTTAAACATTGTTGTGATATCATTGTAAATCAATTATGCCCTTTGTGGTCACAAAAACTAGCTCTGGCCTGCAAACATAACGGTCAGCTGGGTACTATGCGAAATTTCAGGGCTCACCTGGCTGCCCTCAGGTACATCAGCAGGTCACAGTCATTGACACCGGGCATCCACACCAGTTCTTCATGCTGAGTGACAGGATCATGGTCAGGCGAAGGGAATGGCTGTAGATCAGGAAGCTTGGCCTACAAAAAAAAAAAAAGAAAAAAAAGAAACACAGCACTGAGCTGATATATTAATGAATTTAATCAGAAACTAGAATTAGACTAACATTTTAAACATGTAGAAGACGCAAAGAATAAAAAGGCCATTGCTGAAAAATGAATTTATAATTTTAGGTTAAAGAACATTTTTAACAAAGAATAACCTTTTGCCCAATACTAGTACCAACACATTAATTTAATACTTGGATTTTGTAACAAAGATGAGCTACCGACAAGAAATCTGGTTCTCATTTTTACCTTTGTTAACCACCTGCCCTCCTGAGGATTTACCCCCCTTCCTGACCAGGCCATTTTTTGCATCACGGCACTGCGTTATTTTAACTGACAATTGCAGGGTCATGCAATGCTGCACCCAAATTAAATTTATGTCCTTTTTTTATCCACGAAAAGATCTTTCTTTCAGTGGTATTTGATCACCTGTGCGTTTTTTATTTTTTGCACTGTAAAAAAAAAATATTACCGACAATTTTGAGACAAAAAACATTTTTTTTTTACTTTTTGCTATTAAACATGTTCAATAAAAAAAAATTTTTAAATAAAATTTTCAGAAATTTAGGCCAAAATGTATTCTGCTACATATCTTTGTGGAAGAAAATCCCAATACGTGTAAATTAATTGGTTTACGTGAAATTTATAGAGATTACAAATGGTGGTATAGATACTGGGATTTTTTTTAAAATTACTAGTAATGGCGGCGATCAGCAACTTATAGTGGGACTGCGGCGGGCATTCTGACACTGGAGGGAATGGACTTGGTGTCACTGGCATCCCCAGTAACACCAATACCGTGATCAGTGCTAATAAAAAAGCACTGACACTGTACTAATGGCAATGGGCAGGAAGGGGTTAACATGTGGGCCGATCAAAGGGTTAACTGTGTGCCATTTTACATGATGTTCTGTGTTTGTGCTTCACAGCCATGCAAAGCAATGTGTAGGAGCCGACTGGGAGAGAACTGTTTTGTTTACAAACAGTTCTTCTCAAACCCCCCACCGTTGGAGATGCTCGGCAATAACCGGCCACGACATGGTAATTGACACCCGTGGCACCGAATGGCGGCACGGGTAGGGCGAGCAAGCTCTCCCACCCGGAAATGCAAAATCACGTATATATACGTGATTTAGCGCACCAGTGCCGCCCTGTAGCAGTACTTCCGCTATAGGGTGGACAGGAAGCAGTTTAACCACTTCCAGACTGGACACTTTTACTCCCTTCCTGACCAGGGCAATTTTCAGCTTTTAGCGCTATCACACTTTGAATGACAATTGCGCGGTCATGCAACACTGTACCTAAATGAATTTTTTACCATTTTTTTGAGACAGATAAAGCTTTATTTTGGTGGTATTTATTCACCACTGGGATTTGTATTTTTTTTGCTATGTAAATGAAATGTCCAAAAATTTTGAAAAAAGTTTTTTAAATAAAATTTTGCAAATAAATAATATTTCATCATAAATCTTAGCCAAAATTTATTCCATTATCTTTTTAGTAAAAAAAAAAAAAAAAAAAAAAAATCCAAATTAGTTTATAAGCAAAAATTATAATTTTTAAACATTTTTATATATATATATATCTTTTTTTTTTACATACTGTCACCCTAGCAGTACAGTGTCACCATGGTGACACTGTACTACTTGTGGGGGGTGATGAAGATTTTTTTTTTTTTACACTGATTGCTTTTACACCCATATAGGATGTAAAAGCAATCATTTCTCTTTCTCTCTGTGTGCATTCTTGCACTCATTGAGAAGTACTGAGTGAGCTGTGATTGGTCACAGCTTGTCACATGGTACAAGGCTTTTGTGAATAGCCTTGTACCATGTGACCTCTGTGATCATTCACAGATTTCACACGTAGTAAGCAATGTCAGAAGTGACATCTTGCTTACTACTTTGCATGTGATCACTGATTGGCCAATCAGTGATCACATGATCGGGACCTCGTACAGAGGTCCCGTCCGACGATCGGTGTTTTACTGTGTCCGGAGGACACAGCGGGCACCGGATCGCGGTGCTGCGCGCGCTCCCAGGGAGCGCGCACAAGCAGGGTGCGGGGAGGCCGTTTATAGATGGCCACCCGACCCTGCAGTGCCAACGTCCGGCCGTTTATATACAACGGCCGGACGGGAGGTGGTTAAGAATAAATCCACCTTTACAAAAAAATTAAAAATAAATGCATTTTTTTTGCAGTTGAAAAAAAAAAGTGCATTTTTTTTTTGTAGGAGTCTGGAAAGCATTGCACCCGCAATCAGCTGATCATGGGTGCAATACCAGGCTCCTGCACAATGTCAGTGTAGCTGTCTGCCCGTACCTCCAATATGGTCAAGCAGTTACTTCAGTCCAGAAAGAATCAATCACCTATAAGGATGCTATCCAGTGTGCTCGCAGTCTATGAGGACAAGCCCTCAGCAGCAAAGGCTGTCATACTTAAAGTCTGTGAATGAATGAATGACATTGGCCATGTGGGTGGAGTGCTTTTTTCAAATAGTGACAGCGGGTGCAGGGAGAAGATCACCGGCCTGCTGTCACAGGGAGGGGAACGGGGGAGAGCTGCAAGAGCTGGAATATGTTACATAACAGGTGGAATGTATAGCATGTTCCCAAAGGTGAACGTATCCTTTTATTATTTTGTTTTTCATTATGGACAGTTCTAGCAGTTTGACCAAAATGTTTATAAGCCCAGGACTGGAAAAAATAAGCTCAGAAGCCATCATGCAGTGTTTACAGAAAAAAAAAATTGTTGAGTTATACATAAAGAACAAGCAAGGTACAGGACAAATTTTAGGAATAACCACTGTGCAAGTATAATGTGCCTTATTTTTTCCAATTTTAGACACAACCGGTTTTGTTTTTTTTTTATCATTGTCCACGTTCACTCTGGAAAGATTTCCAATGGGGTCACAAATGCAAATAATGACTTGGCAGTTAAGTGGAGAGTACAAGCAGCTGTGACAAGGTGTCATTCATGGCAGGCCTTGAACCATAGCCGTTGTGGGAAACAGTTGGAATTGCTGGGTTTAGTTTCACTGTGAGCTCTGAACTCAAAAATATAGGATGATTGCTGCCCAATTCAATTGGTTGTGCCTGGATTGGGCAAAGATCTTATGACTTTGCAGACAAATCCTGTAAACAGCCTCTTACATTTTCTTAGAATACCCCTACAGCACGGGCACCTGGTATGTCTTCCTATTCTGTCCCTTCTTCCTTCAAGAGTATGTAAATGCAGACTTGATAAATCTTAGGTTTATTTGTGAAAAGATCCAACTGACGTCTTCCTTCCAAAACAGCTGGGAGACACAGTTCATGCCCCAGCCACTCATTTAGGGGAGTCATTTAAAATTCACTTTGCGTTTCCAAGTTTAAATTTCACAAAAAACTGTGCGATGGGAACAGATTCCACTTCCTTTAGATGGCATCCTGTAGACAGCACTGCTGCTCCCATTAATAAAAAGCTTGCTTTCAATAAGAACAGAAATTCAATATGAAATGCGTATTGCACTACTACAAAAAAAGAAGGCAAGCAGGAAATTTTTGCATTTCTAAAAAGGTTATACTTGAATTAGCCTCAGGAACTGTTCCAAAGCAGTTCCCATCAGGGCTTGTTCACACCATGTCTATTAAGCTCAGTTTAAATGCACACCATATTTTTGGGGTTAAACATGGCACACAGAAAACCACTGTTTTCTATGCCTAAATGGTGACCTGAATTTATCTAGCATGGAAGAATGCAAGTCTCCATGCAGTGTGAATGATCCCTTAAAGTGAATGTAAAGCCTTTTTTAACCACTTGCCCTCCAGAGGATTTAGCCCCCATCCTGACCAGGCCATTTTTTGCGTTAAGGCGCTGCATTATTTTAACTGACAATTGCGTGATCATGCTACACTGCATTTACTTTTTTCCCCACGAATTGAGCTTTCTTTCGGTGGTATTTGATTGCCTGTGCGATTTTTATTTTTTGTGTTATAAAAAAAAATGACTGACAATTTTGAGAAAAAAAACCCCTATATTTTTGATTCTTTGCTATTAAACATGTCCAGTAAAAATTAAAAAAAAAAAAATCAAATTGTCATAAATTTACACCAAAATATATCCTGCTACGTCTTGGCTAAAAAAAAAAAAAAGTCCCAATACGTGTAAATTAATTGGCTTAGGTGAAAGTTATAGCGTTTACAAATGGCAATATAGATACTGGAATTTTTAATTTTTACTAGTAATGGCGGCGATCAGCAACTTATAGTGGACTGCAGCAGGCATTAACACCGGGGGGAACTGACTTGGTGTCACTGACATCAACACAGTGATCAGTGCTAAAAAAAAAAAAAAAAAAAGGCACTGACACTGTACTAAGGGCACTGGGCAGGAAGGGGTTAACATGTGGGGCAAAGGGTTAACTGTGTGCTGTTTCACTGTAAGCTCTGTGTGTGTGTGTGTTTCACTGTAATAACACTGCTTTGGATGGCTGTGCACAGCCATCCAAAGCAGTGTGTATGAGCTGACAGGGAGGAGAACTGTATTGTTTACATACAGTTCTCCCCCATCGGAGATGCTCAGCGGGCAGTAATCATTGGCCAAGACCCGGTGATTGACAGCCGCAGCTGGCGGCGCGGGTTGGGCGCGTGCCCCCTACCCAGAAATGCAAAATCACGTTTATATAAGTATATCTGCTATAGGGCAATCGGGAAGCGGTTAATAACAAACATGTTATACCTGGCTGCTCTGTGCAATGGACCTCCTCTTCTCGCCTCCCTTATCAGTCCTCCTGGCTCCACCTCTTCTGTGAGTGCCCCCTTTAGCAAGCCACTCGCTATGGGGGCACTTGTGTGGGTTTGATCCTGAGCCATGCTGCCTGCGTTTACATACACAGACAATGGGGCTCAGCCCTGCCCCCTTGTCACAGGATTTGACTGACACCAGCGGGAGCCAATGGCTCCTGCTGCCCTCAACAAAGCCTGTGAGTGCAG